AAAATGTCAGAAAACTTAAGGCCTAACCAAGGTAAAATGAATCTTCAATCAATTTTTATTACAGTACCCTAACGCTAATGTTGATAACTATTTTCAGATCAAAATCGTAATAATATAAGATGCATGTTTCGCAAAATCCTAAAGTTTTTACATATTCCACATCGTAATCCTAAACAACACCATCAACAATTTCCTCAACATGAGGACGAAATTACTGTTCCCGGTCCAGTATTAACTCATCATATGGTCTCACCAGGGACCTTAGCTATGGATCAAGCCATCCAAGAACAACCACAGACCATTCATCAGACGTATGATGAAATTACGAGTATTAATCAAGCATGTGATAATGATGCTGTATAGCTGTAAAGGTTTTGACAAGATGCGTGTGAAGGTTTATCTGTTAGGAAATTCATGAGTAGAAAAAGTTATTTTAATTATGCCATAAATGTATAAATTTTAATTCTTAACGTTAAAATATTATGAATATAAGATAATATATTTATTCTTTTTTTCGAGTGGTTTCTAGGTCATATAAAAAAAAAAAACTAGACTTAACAAGGACATCAAAAAAAAAAAAAAAAAAAATCCCCTAGAAATTATTCAAGAAAACATTTATGAATACTGAAACGTGCACATGTGAATTGTTACGTAAAGTAGAATCGTCATTTATGAATTTCTTATTTAAGTAAATTATTTTGAGATAAAATTTTCTTTTTTTTAAAAGAATAGATATTAAAATAAATAAAACTATTATGATAATTGGTAAAATACATTTAGCATAATTTGAAACTAAGCACTTAAGTATTATATTTATTATAAATTTCAAATAAATTTCTAAATATTGCGAACATGTGGAAATAAGTTAGGTGCTGTAGAGTGAAAATCTGGGGTGAATCTTTTGTAGTCACCCTGACAGTGTCGTGAATCATATTTATTATACCATTAGAACTGTTGGAACAGTTTATGCGAATTAATAAATTCGATTTTATAAGTTCTCTAATTCAGAACTCAATTCGCGTATCGGTATTCAATTTGTCGCAATTGCCGGATCATAATCCTGAACACTACCCAGTGTTGCCATTGGAAGGCCACCGGATGCAAAGTTAATAGTGCCACTGGAACATTAATATTACAAAATCCCACTGGAAGCAAAAATTCGCAACACTGACTTTACACGGTACTGATTTACGGTGTCTGCGGAGCCACAAGGCATATGCTAATAATATTCTAAAAAAAATAAACAGACCGGTTTCAATTACTTATTCA